CTCTCGAAGAAATGGGCGGGGAAGGGAGAGAAAGAAAGGGACATGTTGGGATGTTGCTAAAGGGTTATTATTTCTTCTCTCCCGCTTTTTAGCCTCCTTATTTTTTTACGAATGATGTTTCGTTTGTCTGCTAATGGAAGTGAGCTTTTAAAAGGAACTTGCGATTGAATTCAGCGCCAAATAACCCCAGGGACGGAGATACACACCGACACAAAACTGGACAGGGGAGGGCGGTCTATCTTTGTCCTCGTGTTTATTCGGTGCTGTTTTCTCGTAGATAATTGAGTAACTGTCTGTATGGCTCCGCTTGCGGAGCAGAGTAGCGCAACGGTCTCAAATTTTGACCTCCGAGTATTGCGGGAAGCGACGGTCGTTTTTGTAGGAGACCCGACGTACAGGCGCCACGATTCACCGCGCGTTTCCCAAATCTCTCGGAAGCACGGGCGCTGCGTTATCGTCCCGTTATCTGCTTGTTCACGGCCGTTTTCAAAGTGCGCTTTCCTTATAAAAAAATAACCCAATTACACGTATTTACGTGGCTCGCACAAAGCCTGAAGGTTGAAGAAGCATCCAGCCTCATATATTAATTAAGCTGGATGGATTAAATAACATGAAATGAAAACAGCAGCCAGCATGCTTACGCCAGCCGGTAACTCCGATTTTGCAGGAGCACTCGCCCTAGTTCAAGAAGTGCTCGCGTTTGCGCAGCTGCATGCAGAGGTCGGCATTTTAGGTCGCCCTCACTCACCCTCACCCTCACAGCCACACTCACCTAAACCCCTCACTCACCCTCACCCTCACAGCTACACTCACCTTCAGCCCCTCACTCACCCTCACCCTCACAGTCATACTCACCTTCAGCCCTTCACTCACCCTCACTGAACCTCACGGCCCTCACGCACTCATCGCCCTCACGGCCCTCACGGCCCTCACGCCCCTCACGCCCCTCACGGCCCTCACCGCCCTCACCGCCCTCACGGCCCTCACGCCCCTCACTCACTCATGGCCCTCACCGCCCTCACTCACTCATGGCCCTCACGCCCTCACCGCCCTCACGGCCCTCACCGCCCTCACGGCCCTCACGCACTCATAGCCCTCACGCCACTCACCGCCCTCACGGCCCTCACGCCACTCACCGCCCTCACGCCACTCAGGCCAGCTTCAGATAGGGCAATTTCGCCCAGAAACTTTACGTCGCAACACCAGCAACACGGGCCGCCCGCGATCACACGCAGCAACCAATCGCTGCAATTTGCCATCGTCATCATAAAATTTTATTTTTCTTGCATTATTCAGACACAATTACGCGTTATAAACGTGTTTTTATGCATTTAAATCTCGTTAAGAATACCAATGCACCTTTCTGAAACAGTTTATTCCAAAAAACGATGGATTTCAAACCAGAACCAAGTCTTTCGGTGTCATCATCACCGGCACGAGGTATCACGTGGAAATTTTGCGTCCCTGATTAGATGCAGCCGGTTTAAACGTATTCGAATTGCTCCGAGTTGCTTGCTTATTTCGAACCGGACCCGATCTCAGCAATTCGTGTCGATCTAGGGAAAGCTAGAGAACAACCCGCCATTAACACCAAAATTGATGAGAAAGATGCTCGATCTGAAGGGGGCCTCACGTACTCACCGCCCTCACGCACTCATGGCCCCACACCCCACCTCATGCACTCACCGCCCTCACGGCCCTCACGCCACTCACTGCCCTCACGCACTCATGGCCCTCACACCCCTCACGCACTCACCGCCCTCACACCACTCACGCACTCATGGCCCTCACGCCACTCACCGCCCTCACGCCCCTCATACCACTCACCGCCCTCACCGCCCTCACGGCCCTCATGGCCCTCACCGCCCTCATCGCCCTCATCGCCCTCACGGCCCTCACCGCCCTCACGGCCCTCACGGCCCTCACTCACCCTCACACTCATGAATTTTCCTGGTTCAGAAACTCACTCACCCTCACCTCACCTGTGAGGATGAGGGTGAGTGAGGGCCCTCATGAGTGAGGTTTGCCCAGGTATGGCTGCATGCGAAAAGACAATTCAAACAATATTTCGTTCTCATCTTTGTCCGAATAGCTCAGACTTCTAAGAGTGAGCGAAACCATAAAGAGAAACAGCAACTAGCTACCTCGAGGTGGACGTCACAGGCGGCGCTGTCTCGCATTGCGCGCATGCGAGACACTTCACTGTCTCGACAAATGTTCTTCTCCCCGGATTATTTCCTCCACTCCGGAGACCTGGCACACCTAACCTTCCTTTGTGGAGGCTTCCCTAAAAAACAATCACTTCTTTCAACAGACAGAAAGCCGGGACGCGAATTTGCGCCACATCGCGTCGCTACTATAGTGCCCAGCCAAACGGTTCTATTGAAATGCTTACTCCATTTGTCAATGACTGAATGCACAAGAACCGAGTATTCACTCCTACGTCACCAGCATGAAACTGCGTAGGTATGGCAACAAAAGGCCCCGGTAGTATCACAACCACCCGAGAACCTTGGAGGATGATGAAATCGCCGAGCGACGAACACGCGGATTGAATGTACTTGAGATGGTCCACGATGGTCCTGTTACCACCCATTTACAACGCGCTACAAGATTAGCAGTCCAAGACTTACCTTTTCTGCTGTCGGAGGTGTGATGCACATTGCCGAAGCACGAAGGACGTGATGTACCAAAATCCTTAACAAACCTCCCCTACTTCCCCTCAAAGATCACCCACCCTATTTGTCTAGTTAAATATCCTTAGGACAAAACGTATAACAAACACCGTTCGCCCCGTCAAATTCCAGCAATGCTCACTGGGCCCAGCAGCTGCACTCCCGGTGCAAAAGAATGTACCAGAGTTTTAGACTAGTAGGCAGACGAGAGGGAAATACTAACCCATACCCCCAATAAATTAAGCATACTCTATTCTACCGCGATTGCAACAAGGTCCTCCCCTCTTTCTGCTCGGCAGAGTAAATGCTGGAGAAGAGGAGAGTGGACTCTCCTGCTCTCCAGTGTTTCTTCTCTTATTGTGGAAAGTAGGGGGCTTTCTGGAAGGAGTTTAGCATTCCATTCTTAAAGGGGCCATGAAATGAATTTTAGATTGGGACAAATGAATTTAGATTGGGATTTTACTAATAACATATCGTTTAGTGGGCCAAAAGAAAGAAGGTAGAAGGTCAAAAGCTGGCTTTTCAGTACAAAAATTTGAGAATGCAGCAGACCATTTTGTACCTCCTTCCCTTCGAAAGCTCTCTGCCTTTTCACTGTGACACATCCGCGGTTCCTAACGCATGTCACCTGGCCCCCAAAGCACGACACCGGCCTCTATTCACCCCTAAGCTGACAATGCAGTGGGAACTACGCGTTTGCCAAACCAATCGGCCGCCTCCCTTTCATCACCTGACCCCATTCTCTGCGCGTGGGAATGCGCCAGAAAGCGTGATCACGCGGCAAAAGATAGAAGTGAGGCCCAATGAGCACGTAGCTTCCACAGCACTGTCAGCTTAGAGGAAAGCAACTTTTGTCCGAACTTTGACCGACAAGCTAATTTTCTAGGGGGACAATGGCGACGTCCGGGTACACAAACGAGGGTCAGAGCAAGAGGGGATTGTCTCCTTTCCCTTCACTTGAACTGTTTGGTAAAGCTGCACAATTTGTGAGTTGAAAAGGAAAGCTAAAAAGGAAAAAGTTAAAAAGTTGCTTCACGGCCCCTTTAACCTGCAGCAGATATAGTAGACATTCCACAAACGGTGCTCTTAGAATCTTCGAGAGCACGACAAAAAAGAAATACTATAGACTGGTTTCTTCTTGAGTTTGAAGCCTAAACTATGCGCTTTTAAGGTCCAGTGCTTTGCTTTTCTCGCTGCGGACGACAATACCATTTGGCTCATCAACAGATGAGCCAAGTATGGTGAATCTGCTAGGGTATTCAAATTTCAAACTACAGCAAACTCCACCAACTGTCTGTTACAAACGTAACAGAGAGGTAAGGAAGGTTACAGAAATTTCACTATTCTAGTTCACCATATTTGGCTCAGTCGAAGAAGGCGCCCCAGACGAATCCCAAGACCATGATTTCGCAGCCTACCAGAAAGGTGGTGCCCCTTCCTACTTTGGGTCACAGTAGGCCGAAAGCATACTAATAGTTTACCATTTTACATATTTTCCTCAACACTAAGAAAACAATTATAAAGATTACAGTGTCATAAATACCCCATTAAGAAATAGCTGCTGATAATGTACAAGGACTGTACGAACCCTCCACTTCTGTCCATTTCCGCCCGCACGACTGCCATCATTAGATCGAAGTGGTGGCTCTTAACATAAGACTTCTAAAATCTCCATGACATTTGTGTAAAAAAGGTTCTGAAAGAAGTCTTTGATACAGACATCAAGGGACAACGTTATCCACTACAGATGCAGACGCACTGTTCGAAAAAAAAATCATTGCAGTGTTTCTGTACTTGGCTTAAAGTCCGACCTACAGAATAGTCTTCTAACGGGGAAAAAACCAGTTCCCAGTTTCCTTCTCTTGATTCCCACTCGCCCACTTTTCCCCTCCTCTCCACACAAGAGCGGATCTCTGAACTACTCCCGGTAGAGAGGAGGAGAGTCTCCCTCTGTCTCAAATGGAACGGAGGAATTGAAAGAGAGTTGCCTTCTTTCTGCTTGTTGGTCGGCCTTTAGAGGCCGACCAACAAGCAGAAAGAAGGAAACTCTCCCTCAATTCGTCCGTTCCATTTATCACGTATGGCCATTAAGATGAGCAGGAAAGTCGAAAATCGAAAATTAGACAAGCAGAGATGCCGCCAAAGCAGCATCTCTGCTTGTCTAAAGCCTACCTGTCTTGCCATTTCATTGGTTCAACGCCGGGCACGACGTAGGAAGTTGTTGAAAACTCGCAGGGTTGTCTAGCACTAAACCCCGAAACACCACAATGCAACAATGTGCGCAGGGCGGAAAGAAGGTAAGTAAAAAAAGGGCGTCCTCCCTACCTCGGAGTCGTTTTTCTTGAATTCAATGTCGTCCTCGTCCACCTCGAAGAAGAGTTCTGACTGGGTGATGGACAGCATTCCCGGAGCTGTGATCCCTGGAGCTATCAGGCGGCATCTCGTGCTAAGACTTACGGACCCTGCGAGCAAATGGGAACAGAAAACTTACTTTGACAAAGGAACCGGGGTACAAACAATGTGGGCTGCAGCAGAGGACAGGTGCAAACACCACAAGCATGCACCAAGTCATTCCAGAGCTTTGCTTTTGAAGTCGTCAGAGAAAGCGAATATGAGCCAAGCAATACTCATACAATCAAATCAGCTTGCAACACACAACTCGGCTCTCTGCGATTTGAGTGTTTACCAATATGTTTGTGCATGATTTTTTTGTTTTGTCGATCTCGGTGGAGGCACTGATAAAGGGCCATTTTCACAAAAAAGTGGGTGGGTAAGATGCACCTTTGTGCACCGACGAAAATTTTGGAAAAAAAAAAAATGACTTGAATATTGCAAAATACGCTACATATCGGCCAACTATCATCGTGCCAACCAAAGCCACTCCGCTAGCGTGGGGGAGAGGTGGCCGAAATACTCGGCGTGAGGTCGGTGGTTCGATTCTTGCCAGTCTTTTGTAGAGACTACTGGTCGTGGCATCATATTTTCATTACAACGTTTTGCAATGCTCTTGACCAGGGGTCTCCAAACCCCTGGTCTAGAACCTCCGTGGGCTAAATTCGGCCCGCAAAGGTTCTCCGACCGGCTTGTGGCTTGCCGTCGTGCTTCCAATGAAGCCCAGACCGCAGCCCGTTTCTAGCAGGCCTGCTGCTATTGGGGCAAAATGAGCGATAGTAAGGAAACGGTGCCGCAACGTGCACCAAGCGTACCAGTAAGAATTAAAGAAAACTGCACACCGTAGCGCGGGTCCTCTTGCCATATTAGTAATTGGACATTGTCATCACCATCATCGCCATTCTTAGTCCCGTTTAATATCTATGTATGTGAAAATTCCATTGTGTTCTCAGTATATTGTGGTTAGTGTCCTGTGTCGTAACTACTGCATATTGTTATCAGTTCTAGCATTCTCATTGGACTTCTGCCCTGCATGAGTATGCCAAAATTTCATTGCGCTTTGTTTTATGCTTGGCAAGTTTTATAGGTCCCAATTATTGTGCGCTGTCATAATTAGCTTACCGTAAAATACCGGGCAAGCGCCCACCCAAAATCTAAAGATAATTGTGAAAAAATGGGATATGGGCGCTTCTCCGGTCATCAATTTTACATACCAATGTACTGTGCATATCTTCCCAGATCTTACAAATTTAGGAATGGGAGCTTACTGTAGAATGGGTGGATGCGCGCTACTGTACTGTAATACTGAATTTCAAAATAAAGTACATGTATTCATCAACCTTAGATTTGTTTTAAATGTTTACTCTAATTTTTAATTGTGCATTTCAATGCTTACCCAGGATTATTTATTTAGTGTTTCCTCGTTTATGTTTACTTAATGTCCGGCCCTCGAGGCTGCAACGGATCCCTTAGCCAAAACGTTTGGACTTAGAAGTCAGCCGTAAAATACGGTCTGCGCTCAAAGGAGCCGGAGGCCCTTGTGGGCGAGTGCCGTGGACTGCACCTGCGAGTTCGGAGTCGAGGTCTTTGTCGTCCCAGAAGTCGCTGTCGTCCAGGAGGTCGCTGCTCTGGAGCTGGTGCTGGCGACGCGTCACCGCCAGCTGCCGGTGCAGCTCTTCACGGGCCTGCAGAATGGCGTCCTCGGGGGCCCCTGAAACGATCCAGAGGAAACTCCTGCTCATGTCTTGGTACACACCATCCATTGCAGTTCAGTCTTGATTCAGCTCTAGTTCTGCCCTGGTTCAATACCAATTCAATTTTACCTTAGGTCCAGTTATTATTATTATTATTAATATTAATCAATCAGTGTTTATTTCAGTATCCAGGAACAACCTCTTGGGTCTTAGTGCTGGCACACTTGCGAGAAAAAAAAACAACAAATTGTTAAAATGGAAACACCAGGGCAATGGTGCAATTCTGTCCACCAGTTTGACACTAGAAGTCACTAATCAAGCAATCAATTAATTGTATCGGTTTGCCCAAATCTAAGTTACTGCTTATGAGGCGATTTAAAAGCCAGGAAACTAAATGTCGATTAATTTTCCGCCCATAGTTACATCTGCATGTGAAAATGCTCCTACAATCATTGCGGCAGGTAAGTTCCAGTTCAGCTGTTCTAGCTCAGCTCCAGCTCAATTCCAGTTCCAGTTCAGTGCGGTTACATTCATGTTAACTTCCCATTCGGTCCCTTCCTAGATCTGGTATGCAGATTCATGTCTCAGATTATGTCTGCTATGATACAGTTCAAACTGGACCGAATTTATCGAAGCAATCTATTTCTGGTGAGGCTTGGTCAGCAGAATTCCAGTTCAGCGCCCACTCTCTTTTGAAATACTAAACACCGTAAGGTACTGCAGGAGCGCACACCCCACTTTCACAGAAAACTGGATTAACCTAGACATGGCCACTTGCCCACTAAAATCGGGCGCTTAACGTATAATTTACAGAATTTCCAAGTTTGGGGAATGTTAATAGTGAGCGCTTGAACGAAGTGGGCACTTCTGCGGTATCTTACTGTAACCCCGAAAGCAAAACGTTGGTAGTGTCAATCATGCTATGACATCTTAGAGTAGCAGCTCGCATATTTGTCACATAATGACTCCTGATTTGAATAAGAGCAGGTTTGAGATGCAGACAGTAGTTGTGACAGGGTCCACGCTCCTCCAGCCACTGAGCTCGCCAGGACACAGTGGGTTAAGGCTGGTCCAAACACTTGTGTTTGACTGTGAGCGACCGCGTTCCGACGGATTTAGGCACGTTCGAATAGTGGATTTTGAATTTGAAGCAAATTCGAAGCGAATAGTAGTTTTAGTAGAATATTGTTGAATCGAATATAGAATAGTTTCTCCAATCCTTTCACTACCGTGCACCAGGCTGAAACAAAAATTTGGCCGAATGTGTGAAGATTGTTCACAGCCGTCCACTTGTCCACTTCTAAACTCAGTTAATTTTATGAACTGTGGCATGTAAACGACACATTTGTTGCAGCTATCCCAATCAAGGGGACTTATAAATCTGCTTGCTATACGCAAATTATTTTTCTAATTTCAAATCGCTGCGCAACATATGCTTTTGCGTTATCTCGGCAGGTTAGCCCCGTTGAGTGCACTTCTCACCGAGCACTTGTGCACTGCAGGGAAACAATACCCGCGGAGCCCACGAGCTCTGTAGGTATTGCTTTCCCGCAGTGCCCGATGCTTGGTAAGAAGCGCACTCAACGGGGCTTACCCATTTATTAAGGTAAGAGCCTAAAGGCCCGTTCACACTCTTGCGACCGAGTAAGACCGAGAAAGACCAGACCGGTTTTTAAGCCTCTTGCGATCTCTTAGGACCAGCTCCGCTGCAGCGCATCCGGTCCTAAGAAGTCGCAAAAGGCTTAAAAACCGGTCTGGTCTCTCTCGGTCTCACTCGGTCGCAAGAGTGTGAACGACGCTTTATATGTCTCATCATTCAGTCCTTGAGCGAAATCACGTCGGCAACACGAAAGGGCCCAAAATCCACGGTTCGCTACTGGACCACGAGATGGCGTTACTTGTGCCAGAATTGGCGCAAACCCAGCGGGAAAGGAGGACACTCGCTCGGGCAGCAGTGAAGAGCGGGCGTGCAACATGCCGGATGATTAACGGCGCCAAAAGTGCGTCATCAGAGACCACGCTGTCTTCGGAGGTTCGCTATCACCGGGATCGGCACTTGGGCTTTAGCCTTCAAGTCGTCTTAGGTATAACATAAGAGACCCTGTGAATTTTCAAAACTGCAATCTGAAAATTCAAATATTCGCACATCACTAGACAGACTGTAACTGCGTAAGATGAGGGAACACACCGGTACACAAGGTGCCATCTAGACCAACTAGACCAAAGGTTTTGCGGCGCTGTAAAACCCTGCATGTTCGCAAGCCCTTAATTTTCGATTTAAAAATTTGCAAAATTTAAGGGTCGGAACCGCTCAGAAGCAGTCCTCTTGAGTCCTCACCATGCTCAATGGCTGCCTTCAACGTTCCCTCGGGGTGGCACGACCCGTGCGGGTTCCGCACAAGTCGCTTCCGCCGGCGGGCGTCGTCTTCCCAGGCGTCCAGCCGCAGGAATTCGTTCTCCCCCGGGGAGCAGGTTGCCCCCTTGTGGGGCCTGGCGGCATAGCCCCAGGCGCCGTGCCGGTTGGTCAGGATGTTCAGCACCTTCTCCAGCGCTCGGCCGGCCACCAGCGAGTCGCGTCGCCGCGCGGCCGTGATCAGGTGGTCGCACATCATCTCCTCTTCCTTCCGATCCACTGCCGTTTGTGCGCACAGCGACTGGAACGCGAAAGTAGACGGGCTACTAAGACTCGGTTGAAGCGGCCATAGAAATGGCAAGGTGCCATCGGTAGATGGCACCTTGCCGTTTCTTGTAAATATTGTAAATATTTACAAGACTTGTAAACTTGTACCAAAACCAAAACTTGTAAATATTAAAGCGGCGCTTTTTCCTTTCCTCGTTCGAGTTGTGCGGTGGGGTCATGTAGCTGTTTTGCTGGCATTTTGAACAGGCGGTGGGCGGGCTGTATATGCTGATTTGGCGGTACGCCGTGTTTTTGTTGAGACTAGACTAAGCGCGTGCACGGCGATAGCAAAGTTGGAAGCATTCAATAAATTTTAGCTGCCAGTTAGTGCTTTTCCTGTGTGCTACTTCGTCTTTTTGTCCAGTCTTTTTAGCGCTATTTTGAATATGAATGTCCAGTACCAACTTGCCCAGCAGACCAAACGTTCAATTCACCATAGATTAACCTTCTGCCTGCCTCATCAATGATGACATCACTGCTGCAATATCGTAGCTACTGTATCGTCCAAGTTTCAAGAAGCCAAAAGGATGAAAGTCACCTCGAACTCAGCGTGCTTGAGAACGTCGTCCGCCCTCATGCGGTTGAGGATAAACTCTGCCTCGTTGGCCACCCTGACGATGTGGTCCTTCATGGCATGGGAAAGCAGCCTGAAACACAGAAACAAAATTTTGCTTAAAAAAAAAAAAAAAAAAACAGTTCAAAACTTTCATGCTCATCCGTTAAAAGACCGTGGTCTCCCTTTTTAAACTTTATGCTCGCACTGCCACACGCTTCTTCCCCGTATAAAGGATTTGAAGTAAATAACCAAAATAAAGCATTGACGAATGCGCATGCAGGATGCCATATGTTTTATGTTTTTGCTTCAGAACAGTTACCGCTGCAGACGCCGGTACGTGCAGTGCATGGAACACCATTCTCTGCATTCTCCTTGACGCTTGGGTAATTTAGCAATAGGTCTATTCAGCAGATTAGTTATCAATAGGCACCATTTTCAAGATCAGTAGACTCTCAGGTGGGTAATAAGGATTTTCAAAGATTTGCCGCTGTGCGACCCGCGTCGGCCATGTCTACGCTCGCACCGCCCTCCCTTTGCCGTCGTTCCAAGCGCTTGCGTGCCTAGTTTCTTTTCCTTCCGCTCTCCCGGGTGGCGGTCCCGTCGCGCGTGTCTACTTTCCGCTGGGTGGTGGTCCCGTCGGGTGTGTCTAGTTTCCTGCGGCTCTGCGGGGCAGGTCTGTGTCGTGTGCTAAACAGCTTCGCTAATCATCCACCTTCACAGAGTGGAATGGCTCATGATTTTTTTTTCTTATATACCTCATGAAGAGTACATTCCGGTGTTAGGTGTTAGAGACGTGCTTTCACGCAAACGTTTGTACTGTATGTTAATCGGCGGTGTTCATCGCGTGTATGCAAGCCACGGACTTTGCAATAGTAAAACATTCTTTCCTGAGCATTTCTTGCATAAAACAATAAAACTAATTTGTGTTTTGAGTTTAATCTACCTCTTGTGCAACCAAGCTAAATATGTACAGAAAACTTAATGTTTTTCTAGCTTTTCCTAAATGTTTTGTGCTTACTCACCGAGAGATGGCCCACCCTAAATTTTTTTATGAATTTCAGGTAAGCGATGACTCGAGATTATTACGGCAGTTATGAGTGGTCTCGACTCCATCTCGTACGTAGGTCGGCAGAAGGGGGGTTCATACACACCGTCCTTCGTTGATGAGCTCGATGAAGGCGAGGCCCGCGTGCTTCTGCAGCGAGTTCTGCCACTCTTGGGAGCAGAGCAACATCACCAGCTCCACCACGGACGTGCTGTTCTTGAAGGTGCTCAGGCCTTGGAAAAAAGGAAGGAGGAACGTGAATGCCTTAGGCAGGATTAGGTACAGAGCGCGACACTGTTATCGCAAACAAGCGATTGCCAGTTTTCTGTGTTTTTCTCTTAGAACCGAAAGGCTGTTACCAAAGATATTATTGCCATAGAAGGAGCTCATCTAGGGCTCTCATATAAGGGGTAAAATTATGTGCCCACTAACACATTTTCGTAATAAAATGCGAAAAGGCGCCGATGTCGTGTTCGCACTAACAGTGTCGCGATGTGTACGCTTCATTTCTCAAAAATCCAGAAAGTGGATTTTTGAGAGCCAAATTCATTGAAACATTTATATTGAATTACCCGCTATATCGAACTGGTAGCCATTTTTTTTGCAAGTTCCATATTAACGCGTTTGACTTACTCTGGCTTGGTCTTCCGGCCAGGTGGCGCAAGCTTCCGACCATTTCGTGCTCCCAAACTCAATACACTTGAAATTAACAATTGCAGTACTTCTAACACCAAATAAGGGCAAATATAAAACTATAGTTTAAACATATCTTGAGGTATTTGTTGCTTGTACTATTCAAACTATTCGATTCAAAATTATTCGGCCAAAATCACTATTTGCTTCGAATTCGATTCGGACCCAAAATCCTCTATTCACCCATGCCTAGATTTTATAGATAGCACAAAGGACAAAGCCAAGTGGAAGGAGGAGATGGAGCAAATCACAATTTACAAAAAAGCAATCCTCTAGTCTTTCTTTTTTTTTTTTTTTTTTTCTCAGTAAACCTTTAGTCGGTAGGTTGCATTCATCCTATCGCCTACTCCTACTCTTTGTCCCTTGCACTTTTTGTGTTTTGTGCGCAATATGTCCACCCAAAAAAGCACATTCCTCTGCAGATAGACGAGGAACTATATCCAACTTTAAAAACTGACTTTTTGAAGTCTTACTGTTTTCTTCAAAGTTAACGGCACAGGTTTTTGGTCTCTCCAAACTTTTCGAGCTGCAAATGCGGAGCCCTGAAACAAGGTCCAGGGGAGGGGGCACTCACCCTTTCCCTCGACCAGGAGGTCCTGCCCGTGCGATCCCACGAGGGTGCGGGAGAGGAAGGGAGCGAAGTCCACCATGATTTCCCTGAGGAGTGGGCACACGCTGCCCAGGGCCCCCTCCAGCTTCTGGGTGAGGCTGGCCTCCCTCGTGTTGGGGCCCTCTGTCACCCCGGAGGGGCCCAGGGGCGCCAGACGCAGGGCCTCAGGGCCCCCCGCCTTCAGGTTGCCGCCCACCCCGCCTTCGGGGACCTGCGTGCGGGGGATGCATTTCCGAGGTCGGCACGCCGTGTCGGTTGAACGCACTGTAATCCGTGCTCCTGGCGTGAACTCGAATGAACTGCCCCGACCGCTTTCCGTCGTGAAACTGTTCAACTGAAACGCGTTTTGTAAAGACCCGTTTCCTGGCGACTCTTCTCTGGTAGCAAGGCATTCTGGGGAAACCCGGTCTGTACCCAACCCATTCTGAAGCAGACCCTTTACTAGCTGACCATTTAGATAGCCGACCCTATAAAAAGCCAGGTTATTGAGCAGCTGACTCCTTCCATAGCCCTGAAGCTAACTCTTTTCATAGTAAGGTGTCTCCTAGTAAGATGTTCCATAGACATCTGATCTATAGTATTCAGTACAGTAGCAACCTGTTCCGTTACGACCAGTTTAAATACGACCTGTATCGTCACACCCATCCCCACCGTGACCCATCTCATCCCAATTTGTCCTGGCTTGTTCTAACCTGATTCAATCTATCCTGAAACACTTCCCTGTTTTATTGACTTGTACTCGTAAAAACAAAATCACACCAGAATCACATTTTCAAACACCTGCACTTTTCTTCCATGGACTCTACTTTCCGTCCCAGCTGGACATGGAACTTTCCGGCGGGTGCAGTGGTGTAGCCAAAAGAAAGGGGGTGTCCATGGGGCTAAAGACTTACCCCTAAGCTCAGCCGGCCCTATAATATACACATGCATGACACCCTCTCTCTCAGTCATAAACACTGCATTACCCCCCCTCCCCCTCCAAAAAAAAGCAAAAAGAATTCGGGACTAAAGCGCAGGGTGGATGTACTCACCTTGTTGACACCGTTGAGTGCCGGCTCCTGGGGGACCAATATGGTGGCCGGATAATTGTGGGGGTTGGTTGCGGTCAGCGGTTCGGGCTCCCCGGACCCGTTGACGTTCTCGGGGTGGTGGTAGGCGGCTGCCACCGGCACCGAGTTCACCGTGTTTGGCACCGAGGACTGCGAGCCAGGACAGCACAAGTGTGAACGAGGCAGCACCACCCCTCGCACACCTCCACATTTTTCTTCCCAGCCGCCTCGGTGGCTCCAAGGCAAAGCACCGTGCTACAAATCCCCTGTTGGCGGGTTCAAACCTTGCCAAGGTGCCCGCAATCCAGCGAAGGCTTGTTGCGAAGAGCGCACCATGTAAGTGAGATTTCGGCTGCGTGGCGCTATCTCCGCAATTGGTTATCGTTTAACCACTCCAGAAGTGGCGAGGCATCTACTGTTTCTGGGCGGACAAGTTCTCTCGCCACGTCTCCCCACTTCTCACATGAAACGACAATGTGAACTTTTGCATCTTCAATCTTCTGGCAGACCTGAAGCCACTCACTACGGTACGCTTCAAAGCGATGACACTTTGGCCATCTTGGTGCTTGAAGTAATTGTTGCCAGCTACCTGGAGCTTCATATAATGAAATCCCAAGAAGCAATCTTCCACCCTTCAGAAATAAGAATACAGTTCACCACTGAATAAAACAGCACACCTCAAGCTTGGCGAGTCACATTTTCTAGTTGTAACGAGAGCCATTGCAGAGCGCAAGCTTGTCTGTTTCTTTTGCAGAAGTTTTGGTGACGTCAGAACGCCGAGTTCTGATTGGCTCCGATTTAAGGATAGTGGGTAGCCTTCAAGGCAGCTTGCTTTGAGGTCTACCCGCTACCCTTCAATCAGAGCCATTCACAGCCAATCGGAGCTTGGCATTCTGATGTTACCAAAACCCCTGCAAACGAAACAGACAAACTTGCACTCCACATAGATTCATCTCCAATCATTCAGAGTCCATTATTGCTTCGGCGCGTATTGCGAGCATGCATTAAACATGGGGGATGCGACAGCGTTCAACGTGAACTCGGCTCGGCTCATGTCAAAAACGAGTGCTGCGTCGGTGTTCGGCAGGGATTGGGATCCAATCACGCGCTCAGTGCCCAAGAAATGGCGACCGCCAAAGTTGCTTAATAAACTTTTGAAAAGGGTCTATCGCGTTCGCTCCGCACTGCGAGGGATGGAGCGCTGGTACTCCGAGACTAGCTCACTTGGTGGGTCTAGGCCAGGGGTCTGAACTCGTTAGAGTACGAGGGCCAGAGGGCCCACCCCCGAAAGGTCGAGGGACAACGTGAAGCCGGGGGGGAGGGGGCGATATATTTTGTTTCGGACAAAAAAGAAAAGCAGCAGTCAATGGCGTTTTCCATTGTAAAGCAGCCAAATCTCTCGGCGACACTGCAAAGGTTTTATAGAAAAGAAACCTCGTGCTCTCTACTTTGTGTAAGCTTGTTTTTTGCCCGCATCATCCCTAGCTTTGATATGTTCGTACGACTACACTCTGGGCCGATACCTAATGTGACAACGGGATTTACAATGCTTTCCCCCTCCCCCTTCACCAACGTGCTTGCATTTTTTAATGGAATAACAGAGCACTTATATTTCAATGGTACTGGCTAAAAGTTAAAAACACAAGCTTTATACTTCGCAGTTGCTCTGGCTGAGCAAGACATTGTGGCGTCAATGTTCATCCTCGAGAAAAGAGCTCGGGCTCGTAACCCGGAAGTTGAATTGACGTAGAGGTGATCAAAAAGAGCCGAGAAGTATAAGTTAAGACAGAACAATACTCGACACACACAACAACAAATGGTATAAAATGTGTGAAAGCGTTGTAAGAACAGAGCTAAGCTTCGAGCGGAAATGAATCAATAATGCGAGACCAATATACGTGGCTCATGTAGCACCTGAGACATTAAAATGGGTGATCACGCAAGGGACGCTCGTGGGCCACGTCCCGGCATGTCGCCCATTTTAAAAAACCCTGGTCAAACCGAAAGCAGGGGCGCGAAATCCCGAGAGCTGCCAGCCGTTGACGGGATGGCGTTGCGGGGGGGGGAGGGGACACTCACTGTGGAAATGACGGCGGCGGAGGAATGGATGTTGGCCAGGATGCTGGAGCCCATCTCTTCAACCACAATCACCTCGTCCTTCTCCCCCTCCTGGCTCTCGGACCAGAGCACGGCAGCGTTGCCGCTCTTGTCCGCCACTGCTGGTCAAAGAAATTGAGCAGTCCCGCGTTATTCCTCAGTAGACTCGTGGCGACGGCTGCGACACGTCGCGGCAAAGATCGTCGGGCGCCGTCCTCACGCTCATGCACCGTGGGGCTGTGGGACGAGTGAACAAAAGCGTTCGGAACAAAATAGACATCTGTTAACTACTAGAACTACAACATCAACGACGGACGTCGCTTCCAGCGGTGGCAAGAGCCCATAACAACTATCGCCGAAAAAGTGGATGGTCAGTTAGACAAAGCGGAGCACCCAGAATGGCTCTGGCTCTTCAAACTGTGCCTTGAGAGTTACCTCAGTCTTATCAAAGAAAGATCCGCAACAATACGAAAAAATTACTGCATGCTTACGGAACGGTTTCTGTGCATACTGAAGCAAAGCTGAAGCATGCTTGGAGTAATGGTAAAGGCATTTTAAAGGGACGTTGAACGATTCAGAGCTATTTTTAAGCACTTGGATCGCAGATGTATTACGGATTGCCGACGACGATTATGTCGTGGAACTCATTGTGAGTGAGAACTATTTTGAGACACGCATCTATATATTGGCATATAGTCCCAAAATAAAAGCTGTCCCTTTAACCGTTTCGTGATCGGTTTTTTTTTTTTTTTCCCAAAAGATGTACCCAAATGGTTGGGTTCTTTTCGAAAGAGACAGCACCAAAAGAGAGTCAATGCGCAGGTTGTCTTAATTATCTAAAGGGAAGGGAGCACGTACAGTTTTTGCAAGCTATCCAGATTGAGAAGCATCGAATGGAACAACGTATTGGGGGCAAAAAGTATAGAAAGCCCCAGAAAAATGAGACAGGGGGTGAATACAACGTTTATAGTTCCCCAAAGACATAACAAGCAGTAGCATGTGTGATTCCCCAATTAGGCAGTAACTTTCAAATGTGCAATCACCGCCATACATGTATGGCGGTGACAGTAAAAGTGTTGAGTACCGACACCCACCCTGTGCCTCGACCCGTGCCTGCTGGGCAGTTCCGTCGGAGGAGGGTCCCAGCTGATGCGGAGCGGCCGCCGCCGCGGAGCGCGGGACGGGCCCTGCCGCGGAGGCGGAGTTGGGCGGGGCGTGGTGGTGGTGCGTGTGTCCCCCTTCGGCGCGCTGCTGCTGCTGGTTGGCGGAACAGCACGACGAAGAGGAGGAAGAAGAGGAGGAGGAGGGGGGCTCCAAGATGTCGCGGTACTTGGACACCATCAGCACGGAGATGAAGTAAACCACAGCCAACGCCAGGAACTGCGCCTGTTTGGTCTCATCCTGCAACAGACAGTTCAGTTCATTAGATTTATGAATGGAGTTCATAGTTTTCACCTATGTCGCATTTTAACTAGGCTGCCGAACCTTTACTTTCACGACTTAATATTTTGCCGACTGGTTCGATCGATAAAAAACAAATAAAAAAGATAAAAGACCAAGTGAATCAAAGACAAATCAATCAATATGCCAATAAATAAATCAATTATTTTTTCTTTTCGACGGACTCTTTTTTGCCTCTTTCGTATACACTCTGAACACCAGGTGCATGCTGGCTTCGACTTAAAGTTTCACCCCGAATCACCTCGGCAGAGTACAAACGGGGGCACTATTAGACGACTCGAGAGCAAAGTTGGAGCTCAAGTTTACGAAACGCACCGACTGGACTGTTGCAAAGCAACAACAACGGTGCAGTTTCGTTGTCGAAAGCGCTCAATCGATGCATTTTGTGAATCTCGGTGCCAAGTCGGCGTTTTACGAGCCTCTAGTGCCCCGGAACAACTCTCAGCATGAGAGCAGGTGTTCCCACTCACGTCTCTGTAGATGACAGCTCGCAATCGGTTCACATCCATGTCCTGTAACAGCTTCTCCGGATCCCGGATCGGGCTGCTCTGGCCGCCAAGGTTCTCCACAATGTTCTGTGCACAGGCACACACAACGTTGAATGCACACGCAAAGGAAGCCTGGACATCTCTCGTCGTCCTTTCATTGGCGCTTCAATCCTCGATGGGAAAGGAGGCAATATTTTGTCCAATGTCAAAACACCTTCAAACTGACATCTAGCGTGAAAACTTTCTATTTTTTTTTTATCATACAACACAGCATTGCATTGAGCAAAACTTTTTCTCATGCCCAATTCTAAACAAAGCATGCTTTTGTAAGCTATTTGATGCCACCTTTGGTATGCAGATTTTACTTAAAATTTGCTTAAAGGGAGAGAGCTATTGCACATCAATACTCCATCTCAAAAGAAACTTAAAGGGGCACAACCAGTACAGGTATCAGTAGTAGGTACAAGCACCTAGTTTACATAGACAATTAGAGTGCTCAGACACTCAATAAATTCTGACAACATATGATTGGTCGATTAAATGATGGCTGGTTGCGGTACGTTAACAGGAATGTGACGTCACGACACCACGTGATGTCATAGTGTTACATGACAAGAAGTCATGATGTCATGTGATGGGGTCACACAAAGATGGTTCCACCGACGACAGTCGTCATGTAATGTTGTGCCGCCGTCGAAGCTATGCAAAAACACTATGAGATGGTCCTACGAATGGTGCTGCATCCAGAACGGGGCGTCCCACCTTTGCTGATGGCTGCACGCCGCCAATGAGGGCGTGGATGGGGTTGGGACGGAGTGGGTCCCGGCTGGTCGGAGTCTGGGGGGTCAGGGGGGTCACGGGGGTCAACGGGCAGCTCCTCTCACGACACTCCAGGCAGTTGCGCACCGCCGCTGTGCACACTGCGGGCGACCAGGAAGACCGCCACGGTCAAGGTCGGCGTCGAGGATCGGCGGCGCCCATTACCCATGCCAGGGGCTTTCAAACTTTCTAATCTCTAGAAGGTCTTACCTGCCCCGACATTGATGCAATAAAGCGGTTCAGGAGCCTACAAAGTTTTCAAAGTGCAATGCACATACCAGGAAGTGAATGCGAAAGTGTTCCAGAAGCCAGGACTCATTATGATGAAACAAACTACACCGACTTTACACAATATAACCATTTAATCAAACGATTAAATGGTTGTATTTGTTACATAAAGTCGTTGCAGTTTGTTTCATTGTATTAGGGAGTGCTCACAGTTAGGCATTGATGGGTGGCTTATGTCCGCTAAAATGGCGCTTAAATTCGGAAAACACTTTGCTTAAGGGCCGGGATGGTTGAGAAAATTTCGGAGCTCGGGGAACCCGCAAGGTTGACCCCTGTGTTCCCAGGAACCCAGCCTGTGGACCCACGACTTAAGCCGCAAAATACCAAGAAAGCACCCACCCCAAATCGGTAGATAATGTATTTTCCAGTGTATAGTTCGCACTTAGTGCCTAGTTCAAACGTAAAAATGATCATATGCGGAACACCTTGACAAATGCCTTCTGTATTAGCTCGCAGAAGCTTGTATTATTTACTAAAGTCAACATTAATATACTCCGTTATTAATAAAAAAAACCTTCACTCTGACCCCTTCACTTGTCTACTTTGGGTTTCTCTTTTGGCTTCCTCAACGTTTTGCCGTCTCTTTATGGCTTCGTTACGGTGTCATGCGGGCATGCGGGTTAAGGGGATGTGTGTGGCATTTTCCAAGGGTCATGCTAACGCATTCCCTAAGGATCCACCAATGGATCTTCCTTTATTTTTTTTCCCGGCGAAGCGGACTCGCTGAGCATGCTTCGCACGCAGACCCGCGCCGGCTTGCCGCTTCTTACGCCGCCTTTCGGCCAGCCGAGCTAGGCGCTGCTTCCAATCCCCTGTCTCGTTCACCCGCCTTGCACGCTTAACAGCAGCATCCTCTGCCTGACGCTGCTTTCGCTGTTCACCGGTTTCCCGCGCAGGCATCGGCCTCCGCCCGGTGACGTCACATCCCTCTCGCCTTTGTCCTTAACTCCTCTCCTCCTCTCTGTGCTGTGAGCTTCCCTTTCCACTGTTATGTTCGCAGACGAACGGTGTCAACCTTTCGCTGCCAATTTAGGTACTAACACTTACGCATTAAAAACCACTAATTTTAAAGATTTTGTCCGCTAAACTTGCATGCAATAATTTAGCACCAGAGTGGAGATATGTGGAGTGCAAGTTCATCCGCTTCCTTCCGTAGGGATTTCCCCGACGTCAGAATGCCGAGCTCTGGTTGGTTCACTCGGTGTTCTGACATCGGGACGACCCCTGCACAAGAAGTGGACAAACTTGCACTCCGCACAAAACACTATAATATTCAGACCGCTTGTCGTCGCTCTTAAGCATAGGTGCAACCAGAGCAACTGACTAGAAATGCTACACAAACAGAACAGAAAAACATCCCAACTTAGAGCGAATTCTGGAAATGGTACACTTCCTTCTCAGAATAAACAACATGGCAGAGACGTCACTTCAACCATACCATCAGAGCTGCATCACCGAGCGCTAGGTTTCACACGGCCAGAATCCAATGAAAACTGGAACCTTTGAAACAAACGCTTTCGAGTACCCCCCCCCCTTTTTTTTCGTTCTGTCCTTCCAGCTCCCATTGACCGATTCCTCGCTGCAAAGCAGCAAACAGCCATTGGGACACACACATCTGCTATCCGCCGAAAAAGAGATGCCCGAATCATGGATGCAGATCCGCTATCTGTGAGTCTGCTATCCGCGAAACTTTATGGCAAATTGCTAGCCAATTGTGTTGCACACGTAAAACGTTCTAACATCACAAGTTTGGCGATGCTCCGAATTGCCAGATGCCTAAGTTCACGAAGCTCTTGATCAAGTAGTTTAACGCATACCATGTGAACACTTGATAATAGTTCCTAGAATGAGGCGAATGTAGTACTACCTCTAATCGGGCTGATAAACCTGGCGATCTTCCAGAGCCTTCCACACTCTCAAGCTCCTTTCCCTCAATGCACACAGGTGGTCCAGCTCCTCCTCGCCTACCTCACCCCTCCCCTAACTACCCCTCTGGTCACACGACCTCCCCGTTAACCAATCAGCTTCGAGCACCCCACTCCTCCCCTCCCACCCGTCAACCAATCAGTGTTGAGCCTCGTGGCCACACCTTTATCTGGGCTTCACAAAATGCCGAACACCTAGCCAGAGAATGTTTCACGTTAACAGGTAGACATACAGGTCCCACCAGCTAATGAGGCGGCCATTGCTCGATCAAATGCGACAACGGTGGCAGAGAAGACGTGAGCGGGCCCTCACCCAGTCTGAGGCACTGCCTCAGGATCCCTCCGCTGGACATGTTCTTCTCCGCTTCCAGGTCAGAAAAGCTCAGCGAGGACGCAAAGACGAGCACGTCCGTCATGTACACCAGCCGCTGGAGGAAGGCCACCGCCACCTCGATCGCCATGCCCTGGGTCGGCTCTATCACGTCCAGTTCGTGCTGCAAGGGGCGTCAACAACGCGTCATTTGACTGCCAATGAAGTCGAGCCGACGGTGAACCCTGGACCCGTGGCAGACACACCGAGAGATCGAGGTGCTCACCGGTGCTATGACAGAGTCCTCGAGAAAAACAGAAAGCACTTTAAAGGCAGAAAACAAAACGGAAACGTGCCTGGGTTGACGAGGAGACTGAACTGAAAGGAGCACTTGGTCCGGCTCGTTTTGTGCAGAGATCGGTGCTTACCCAACGCGAGGCCCATGGACTGGAATCTTATGTCAAGTTCCTCGATCAAGTGCGAGGCAGACTGGACGCGAGTGCTGCGTCAACGTTCCACTGGTACTTGCGTTCAATTGGTGTCTCGGTGAATTGAATGTGCGCCCCGGCCTAATGCTGACGCAGTGTTCGGCTACGTCAGCTGAGCATTGCGTTGGAAACACAAATGAATAGTTTGTGCTGTCTTGACCACATTGGTTTAGCTCTAAACTTAAGGCCCGTTCACACTCTTGCGACTGCTTGCGACCTCTTAAACCTGGGTTCCTTAAAACTTCTTAAACCAGAGAACACACTGGCGCTATCTATTGGGAAGCAGTGTAAACTCGGCGGTCCGGCATATTTTTTTTTTATTTCTCGCGCAATATCCTTTTTTTTTTTGGCTCGAAAAACTTTTGTCAATGTTATAAACGAGCCTTTCTATGGGTATTACGCACATTTGACCTCGGAAATCCCGCAAAACCTTCGCTTTTGTGAAATGCAGTTCTAGGGTCACCGCATAGATGGCGCCACAATGTCAGTGTGTTCCCTCATTCTAGAAACATTTAAGAAGTTGTAAGAAATCTCGTCTCTCTCAGTCGTACTCGGTCGCAAGAGTGTGAACGGGCCTTTAGCTGCTGGTGGCACGACAGTTGAACCAATAGCTTTGTACACGGAATAGTGTGTTAGTACTACTGACCTTTACGCAACTTTTATTTATTCCGCATATATTGTTTTATTTTTTCTCACGTGGGCTGGCTTAGACAGTTAATTTACAATCAGTCTTTCTCTCTTTTTTTTTTTTTCTTTCTTCTTCTTTATTACCCTTTGCCAGGCACAAAGTAGAAAACAAGTATCACTAAGACCAGCCGTCTCTTTCACCTTCCTCCACGAGTCAACTGTTGGTTCGAAGAGAAATGCCGGACACCGAAACGTCTTTCAAACTCCAACATCACGACGCACGATCAAAAAACAAAGGGTAGGCATCTAGCCAAACTAAAGACTGCCACCTACGTTTGGGGAAGTTGCCGAAGCAAGCAGAGGCAAAAGTCCTCCGCACGCAATGATGATGTTGTCTGCTAGCTGGGAGATGAGGTGCACCGTGTTGATGACGAAGATGGCGTTCTCACCGCTGTTCACAAAGTCGATCACAGTCTTGGTATTGTGGCTGTAAAGACAAGACCACGAAATTGCCGAACGAAATCACCGGCAATCTGGTCGGTAAAAACCCCGCATGAAACACCGTAAATACACAAAGTAGAAATTGTGCACAGAGTAGACTATCATGAATTTTCAGAATAGGTGATAAGTACGACCTTCCGAGACAGGATATATTTTCATATTTTTTTAATACTTGTACCATGAAAAAGTGACCACACCATACTACCGTATTTACACGACTGCAGGTTCACCTATCTTTTAATTTATGAAAATCTAAAGTGGGGGGTCGACTTATAATCGAACCAAAGCATCCACTGCCGACAAGGACGAAACAATTGCGATATCAAGAACACCTCGGCTTCTTAGGAGTTCAGCCGGCTGAACCCGTTGCATTGCGCCATTCTGTGCACTCATAAAGCAAGTTCCATTCTCTTGTTTTTAATCTGAGTGAACGAGTATCACAGCGACATGTGATAACTTTAAATATTTAGAAGTTGCAATATCGGCAGATATAACATGGAAACTACATATTGAAATTTTACGTACTATGGCTAGAAAAAAATTATGGTTCTTAAAACGAAGCCTCGAGAACGCCACGAGCGAGGTGAAGCTGACCACTTACAACACTCTTATACGCCCCACCCTAAAATATGCTTGCGCTGTATGGGACCTTTACTAAAAGAACCAGACTGATAGATTAGAGAAACTTCAAAGGCAGGGGGCTCGCTTCATTCTGCCCCGGTATAGTCGCCTCGACTTGTTTACTAGTATACTTGAACGGCTTAACTTCCTCCTCTGTACATTAGATGACAAATTGCCAGATTAAAGTTTCTTTTCATGCTCTCACGAAACTTACTCAATGTGGACACTTCTCGGTTTCAAAAATCATGTGTGACGACAGCAGTGCGGGGGGGGGGTACACAACAGGTCCCTTCAAATACCGCAAATTAATATTGATACCTATAAGTACTCTTTTTTTTGTTAGGACAGCAGACGCAGCAGCTACCTACACCTTGTATAAGTTCCAGTGGTATACAGTCAAACCCGTTTATAACGAACAGCAGGAAACGCTACGATCAGTTCGATATAGCAAGTAATTCGATATATCAAAAAACGTTTACAACGAACTTCTGTGATGCGTTCGTTGTAAGGCGAGAGCTTCTCTTTGTATCTCATCTCTCCGCTTCCGCGCCTTGTAAAAAACGCCAATTTTTTTTTTTTTTTTTTTAATGCACGCAGATTTTGTTTTTTTTTAGCTTTTTTCCCTTTTGAATGCTTCTCTTCACTGAATTTTGTTTGCGGCTTGAGCTTTTGACATTTTCTTTCTTTTCTACTTTTTTTGGGGGGCGGATGGGACAGGCTAGAAAACGATTGTTTGCGCGTTTTTGGAAGCCTTCACGGGAGAAAAAGTTTGAAATAGCCAATGTGTTGTTCGTTATAAAAAGTACTTTTTACATGCATTTTTATTTAAATTTTCCGTGAGCTTGATACAGACAATAATTCGCTGTACGTGGGTTCCATCTAAACGGGTTTTACTGTAGTGCTAAGGCTATGGGCCCACACCCATAGATCCGACAGGTTCTTTTGGTCGAGCAGATGAGATGTATTCTAAGGCCAGATGCTCGCACAAGGCAAGCGAAGTACATGAAGCTTCGGCCCGGTGCTCGCAGCATTCTCAAAATTGCCAACAAAAACAGCCCACGTCGACAGATAAAGCTCATCGAGTTTGGCGGGCCCAAGTGGCAAATTGGTGCTCTCACCTGCGCCAGACTTGGATGTCCGTCTCCAGGGAGAAGAGGAGGTCAGACAGTAGCCGCTGGTGGATGGGAGACCAGCGGAACTCGGGGATTCGGAACGGCGGCCGCGAGGGGCCCGCGCTGAACAGCTGCCTCCCCGCCGACGCGGAGCCTGAAGTGGTCCCGGGCGCCATCTCCACAGACTTGGGTCGCGTCGGCGCGAGCACCGCTTTCTCGACGGTTGTCTGCGACGCACTCCTCGCGCGGCGAACCACGCCCGCTTCTTGGGCTCCCTCCTCCGATGCAGATTCCGCCATTGGCGCCGTGGTGCTGAACCCGAGGTCGGCCATGTGCCTTCGCTCTATCTCCACCTGTAGTGAGTCGATCGATCGATTGATTGCCAGTTCATTAATCAACAGTCTATCTATAAATCAACAATTTATCTAGAAATCAACATTTCATCTATCAACAGTCTATCCATCCACAGTCTGTCTATTCAGAGCCTGTCTATCGACAATCTGTCTATGAACCGACAGCTTATCTGTTAATCAACAGTCTATCTATCAATCGACACTGTATCGGTCAATCAAAGCTTTATTAATCAACTGCTTGTCTTTATAGATGCCCAATAGATAATAGTCTGTCAGGTTTTATAGATTCCTGACAAAAAAATATAGGTTTATTGAAATACAAAGGTTTACCAAGCTTAATGGTGCTGGCTTGCTACATGATTGCCTGATAAATCAATCCATCAAGTGAAGATTCACCGATTCATCACAAGGCGGGCTTGTTTTACTGCACACAAACCATTCTTCATCCAATAATATGACATTAGTATGGCAACAACAGTTTTTATTTAGTGGTCCTGCTGGCCTTTATATTTCTTGCTTTAAAACTGACAAGTTCTTGCTGAATCATAAGACAGGCAAGATCTTCGTTATCCCAGGTCTAATTCCTGCATGCCTCATCTCTAACTCTGCCGTCTTTCATTTCTCTGTAATGAAATATCTATTCAGCCCGCTAAGCTAGAACAAAATGCTTGTTACATTACTCCTCCTTCGTCCTAAAAATGAATTCGTCCTAAAAATGAAATGCTGGGAGCAGGACAAGAAAGAAAGCCAAGTGGGAAATGTTAAAGGTTGCCAGCCTTGGAGGTATTCCATAGGCTCAACCCCATCTTTTCATTCTGGCCACAACTGCCCATCACCAAGATCCTAACTCTCACCTGGGCCTCAATCGTGCTGATCCCGCCAATCTCCACGGCAGCCTCCTCCTCCGCATCGCTCTCCGAAATCACGGCAGCATCCCCGCTGGCCTCCGCATTCAAGAGGTTTGTCTGCTCGATGGTTCGCTTTGCTTCCAGGCGATCATCCCCATCGTCTTCGTTCCCGTCTTCAATGGCGTCCAAAGACGACGGCTCTTCCTTCTCTGCGACGGCAGTCGCCACGACAACACCCTCTTGCGGAAGAGGGTCGTCGGCAGGTGGCGGAAGCGGGACGTCCAATTCCTCGGTTGGGTTTACAATGGACGGAAGGTGGCTGCCCATCGGTTCACTCGACAGCTTCTCCGGACTCTGGGCAGGGCTCGCCACTTCCCGCGTGCTGCTTGTTTCGTCCGCACTCTCAACAGATGCCGGCGAGTCAGAAGGTCCCTCCACGGGAGACGCGCTCTTCGTCCGCGACTCGCTTTCTTCCGTCTCGTCCCGTGCGACAGAATTGACCTCGGTGCTCCCCTCCTCTGCTTTCTGTTCGGGTCGTTCTTGCAGAGGAGGTTCGGTAGAGTCGGCCTTATCGGCGTGACCGCCGTGATCGGAGACGATCGCGGCGTCATCCGCGGCGTCCTCCGGAAGAGCGGCTTCTTCCGAGGCCTCGCTGCCGTCGTCACCCTGAGCGTCTTCGAAGACCTCGCACTCCGCGGAACCCTCGCCCACGGCCAGCTCTTCTCTCTCTGCCGAGACGCTGTCTGTCGACGCTGATTGGTCGTCCTTATTGCTATCCGACATCTCCGCCGCATCTGGAATGCATTCCCTCTTGGCATCACCCTCCTCTCCAATTACACCCTCCATCCTCCCGACGTCTGCGTCTTCGACGGGAGACTCCGCGGGTTCGCCGGGCAACTTCTCGTCTGCGTCTTCTCGAGCCGCCTCTTCAGCAGCGTGGGCCTTCGTCGGATCTGTGGGATGGGGGACCACGTCCGGCGACGCACCCTGTTCTCCGCCGGACAGGTCCGAAACCGGGGAGCTGCCGTCCGCCGGTGGAAGTGACGGCCTCTTCTCTTCCGACAAAGACTTGGTGGACTCTTGGACTGGTATCACGTCTGGACAGACGACTGCTGGGCCTGGCAACGCGGCTCCTGTGACATCCGAGCTCTCGACAACAACTGGGACAACCTGGGAGGCAGACGAGTTTAACCAATGAGGCCTTGACGGCGGCGACAAAGTGCAGCAAACCAGTGGCGTAGCCAGGAATTTTTTTCCTGGGGCGGGGGGGGGGCTGAGGTGGTTAAGATGTCCATGACTTCGGGTGCGGAGGGGAGGAGGGGGGGTGAAAATGCAAGTGTATTTTATAGGGTCGGCTGGCTTTCGAGGGGGGCTGAAACCCCACAAGCCTCCCCCCTGGCTATGCCGTTGCACCAGACGGAGAGAACATAAATGCTTCGCATGAAGCCACTAACGCAAAATGTGTCATAAAACTGCGTCGACCTGCGTCAACTTAGGATCTGTTGTGTCTGTTTTGCCCCTTAGGGTTTTAGTTAGGAATGGCGATTATTCGGTTATTACGAATAGCCCATCGAATTCTGTTCTATTCAGCATTTGCTTCAAATAGAATTTAAGTATTCGACAATATTAAATTATTCTACCTTTCCGAATACTCTGGCTTGGATATTCAGGTGGCAAAAGCTTCCTACCATTTTGTGCTCCCAAACTCGGTACACTTGAAATTAACAGTTACAGTACTAGCTCCTAATACCAAATAAGGGCAAATATAAAACTATACTTTAAACATATCTTGGGGTATTCGTTGCTTGTACTATTCGATTCGAAATTATTTGGCCAAAATCACAATTCGCTTCGAATTCGATTCGGATCCAAAATCATCTATTCGCCCATGCCTAGTTTTAGGGCAATTTGTGAGGGACTGAGACACAAACAGACGACGCATTCTGCGCTAACTGGCTTTACACAAAGTATCAAGTTAACTTGCAATCTCTTCTTACTCTCTCTTTCTAGGGTCGTAGTAAACTATGAGGTGTTTGTATCCCATCCTCTTCCCAGGCGCCATGTTTTGCGGCCAGATATCGCAAATAGGACTTTTATAAGGCCTCTCCGGTAGCACAGGGTTACAGTGGCCTAGTCAAGTATGCTGCTGGGCTAGTGGGTACATAATTAGGTACAAATAAAATAGCACAGAAAGAAACAAGGACAAGAGAGTAGACAGAACCGGTCAGCTAGCACCCCGTCCTGTCTACTCGTTTGTCTCCATCTCTTTTACGCTATTTCATTTTGTACGTACTGATGCAGAGTTCGTTGGTTCTATTCCCATCAAGTGACGAAGGGATTTTTTGCTGAGGAAATGCGACCATGGCGTCACGTCTTTCATTAGACCCTTTAAAGATGCTCTAGACTTCAAAGTCAGCCCTAACATACATTCTGCATTAAAAAACCGGGCTAGTTGAGCACATGTTTGTCACACGTGTCCTCTTTTGCCCCTCCTTTTCTGAAGAACAGGCACTCACGTCTTCCGAGGGAACCGGGTCGGGGACCTGGCTCGGCGTGGACGGCACAATGGACGGGAACGTCACGTTGCCCCTCTCCTCCTCCTCCTCCTCCTCCCCCCTCTCCCCCTCCCGGACCTGGACGATGTCCGGTCGGGGCGGGGCCTCCCGGGACGGCTGGCTGGCGCACTCCTGCTCCGGCGGCGGGCACCGGTCCAGGCCCGAGATGGTGCTAATGGGCCGCTGGCGGCGCACCGCCGGATCTGTGATGTGGTCCACCCGTCGCTGGTCGAAGTGCTCGTACATCTGGGCAAAGTGCAGCTTGTACTCCTCCAGAGACACCTGCGGTGGAGAGTAGACCGATTGATTTAGTGATGTATACACTACCAGTCAATTGAATCCATCAAGTCAATCTACAAAAATGGTGATTGTAACCTTGTTACAAACCACCACCCAACATCCCTGACAAGTGTAGTATCCAAGCTACTGGAACATATATTTTCCCACACACTATCTCACCTCGAAAATAACAATTCCTTTTTCGGGAAACAGCATGGTTTTCGTAAAGGGTTCGCGTGTGAATCGCAACTAGTAGAGTTTACTGATGACATTCACATAAACGTGAACCATTACACTCAAACCGATGCCACCTTCTTGAGTTTCTCTAAAATATTCAACTGCATTCCTCATTGTCGACTACTTGCTAAGCTCTCCTCACTCCACATCGACTCGCTCACTCTCTCTTGAATACGTAACTTCCTATACTACGTCGCCAATATACAATTTACGAGAACTACCAGTCCAGCATGTCAGACGTGATCTCTGGCGTACCGACAAGCTTGCGCCACGCACCCCCATAAAAATACAAAAGATCGCAATAGGGACGCCTTCAATCCAATGTCTCAATAGAGAGTTTTGGAATAGGGGGCCCCAAAAGATCAGAGCTCCTAAGCAGTAGGGGCTCACCACTGTGCACGCCCCGAATCCAAACTGTGTTTTGGGTTTCGGGTGGGCGCTCGCCCCTAATGCAAAAATTCAGAAATAGCGTGGGCCCCTATTTGCTTCGGGCCGGATTGCGTCGGAGAAACTTCGTCGAGGTTGCTGCCGTATTAGCCACATTCATTTGCCAGTGAATGACGCAGCCGGCTTTCGCTTTGCTTTATCTCGCTCAAATCACAAAGAATGAAAAGTGAGCTTGTCCCATTTTAAAGATTGTCTTCAGATTTTGGCCGTTCCTAAGCCTAAAGAAACGCGGTAATCTTTGACATGGCAACGTCTTACTAGTCCGAGACTCCGAGCGGATTTTCTTGGCTCGATCGGTTGAGCATTCATGGCATGTTACCTGTAGCTTAAAAAAAAGTATTCCAAGGCGTCCAAGACACTCCAGCTCAGATCTAAATAAAGCAGCTGCTCGCAGAGTACGCTTTCACATGTTCGTCTTGGTTTCAGCATAATTAAATTACAAAATTCTTTGGCGACAGACGTTCAATGCGGCACACGAACACCAAAAACAATTTGAGAACGAGCGCCAAATTATGGCGCTACACGGATTGGATTGTTTTGGCTGAAAACAGCTAACAATGTCTATACTGATTTTAGATTGTCCTTTATTTTAGCTGGAACGATTTGGTTTTACCTAACTATTATTTGTAAACAAAAAGCATCTGTTAAACGCATATGTCTTACATTTTTTAATATTTTTATTATTTGATTATTACGCTTGTTAGCCACATTGGCGCTGCAAGCGGGACACTCAAGCGAGCCGCGATGAGTCGCGAAAACCCTATTTTACGAGCTTGTGATGGCAAACTTGTTGCATTTGGATCCCCCAATTTCTTAGGGGCACACAAACGTTGGGGCTTCCTATTCGAAAACTCTCTAATGTTCACAATACAAAAACATTGCACGACTATCCCACGAGATGCATTTAGACAGCGTAAACTGCGCAACTTATTCAATGATATGACAATGACGATCGACTGGCAATGCGTCGATCGTGCGTCACACAATGATCCGATATTGAAATGAGGTTGTGTAGATTAAGAGTCTATACATTCTTGATAAATAAATGATTTTAAGGTCATAATGCGTCTTCCCGCCAAATGTAGCGGGGAAGCTGGTTACGGGAAGTGGCTAGGAGCCAGTCGTATACTGTCGAGATCGGTTATAACGAAGTCAATGGGAATCGGAAATCACTTCGCTATATCTGCTATTTCGTTATAATCGACTTTCATTATAACGAAGTGCAAAAGGAAATGGGGAAACCGTGATCGCTTCGCTGTAGCCGCTATTTCGTTATAACCGACTTCGTTAAAACCGGTCTCGACAGTAGTGCGTTCTGCGCCATAAAACAGAGCGGAAGAGCTGAAGGCCAACCTTGGAATGCACGATGGCGAGTGTGTCGACCCAGACGCGCCAGCCGCCGTACTCGTACTTGATGGCGTGGTGAAGCAGCATTCGGAACAGGGCGTACACCATGTCCGAGATTTTCTGCTCCTCCGCGTTGCACGGGTGGATGTAGGCCATGGCCACCAGCCACTCTTGCCACACCGACATCTGGAGCACCGTCCTGGAAGTGTAGCGAGAGTCAGGTGGCACTACTGTGCCAGCGAAAGGAAGCAGCAGGCAGCTGGGACAACCTCTAATAAGTCTTGCGTTCCGGGAAAAAATCTTTTGTCGAATTAAGACCGTCATATTCTGAGAGATGGCCCACCCCAGTCTTCTGGATTGTTAATGCGATAGCACTATTAAGCTACTCATCGCAGATTTCTGTCTATCTGGTATCTGGCCTCCCAATAGGTAGTTGGTATATGCAGTAGACCCTTTCAGCTCAGTGTGCTTGCACCCCAACTCACTGCGCATATACAGACTGGCAGTACGCACTGGTTCACATTCGCCCCTTCTTCGAAGGACCTGACGACCTTGACGTCATCCTAGAAGTCGTCCTCAACGTCGTCTTTGACGTCATACGCAAAACGTCCTCGACGCTGTCCCTGAGGTCATCCTAGAGGTCGTCCATGAGATCAACCTTCAGGTCACCCTAGAGGTCGTCCTCGAGGTTGTCCTAGATGTCGTCCTCTAGGACATGGTCCTTAAAGGGATACTGAACCGATATCTGAACTTTTCAAAATAAGCCCCGGACGAGCTGCCCGGGACGTTACTATACCTAAAAATCAAGACCATACCAAGGGATGGTGATCGGATTATTATATTTCTTTGATTGAAGAACCGCGTTCGAGCAATCCGGCGGCCGGAAGCCGCCGGTGCGATTGACGCCACCGCGGAGGAGCCCTAGCGGAACTGACGTCACAGACCTCTCGCTCCTTGGCAGACTCGGTTGTCCCGCTGCAGTCCTAATGGAGAACCGCGCCGAGTGTTCCTCATTCTAATCCCGTTTCTTCAATAATTATGCCGCGGTACTGCGCTGCACAAGACTGCTCGAACAGCGTATGTTACAGCGGCAGGCCTGCGCACAAGTTTCCGAGTGAGCCCACGTTGCGGAAGCTGTGGATTCGCGCGGCCCGTCCTTCCCAGCCAACATGGAAGCCCGCCAAAGGCGATTGTCTTTGCACGGAGCACTTCGAAGACGAGGACTACAAGACGAGCCCGAAGTTACTGCAAAGTCTGGGCTTGCCTGTAAAACAGGCCTATTTGAAGCCTGACGTGGTGCCATCGCTCTTCACGCGAAAACGCAAGCGAGAGCGGCACAGCGGCGCCGTGGAAAAACGGCGACGGAAAGAGGTGAGCGCAGTTACTAAAATATTTTTCTGCTTGTTTCTGAGAGGAAAGCACGAATGCGAGTGGTCGTGAGATTAGCGTAGTACATTGCGCGACGCTGTTAGCGCAAGCCTGCTAACTCGCCTTTGAAGACGAGCGCGGAGAAACGCCGAGATCGCGTTTTCGCTAGCAGCGTCGCGCAGGGTAAGTGTGTACTATATCCGTGTTCGCTATCGTGCCCTTAGCCGGACGAAAGGTTGCCGCCAATCGCAGGTGCTCCACTGTCGGTATCGTGTACATGGCGAGACTGCAGCTATACTCTGTTTCACCTTATGATGTACCGCAGGAAAGGCTACAAGCTCGAGCTTGTAGCCTTTCCTGCGAGCTCACAGCGTAGGCAGCTGCCTACGCTGTGAGCTCGCGATTCTTGCCTTCGTTGCGGTACAACATAAGGTGAAACGGAGTATAGTAGCTGCGGCGATGGCACTCGGTTTTCGGGCTCATTTGCTAGAAACTTGCTTTGAAGCTACGAGCTTGCGCCGGCACCTTTGGCTCAGTTGTGAAGGCTGGTATTTATCTTTATTACTACTGATAAATGCCAGCTAATTTTAATTTGAGAAATTTGGCATTAACCAATAAATATCGAATTTTGATTTGGGCTACCTGAAAATGGCACATAGGACCGAGCTGAACCATTCCTGGGAGAATGTGGTTAATAGATGATCTACGTACTTCCTTTTGGTTTGCAGCGGGTATATTCCGAGCTTGAGCAGGATGTGCAAACTCCGCGGCATCTTGAGCATGTGCTATTCTTCATTGTGGCGCATAAGGAGATGCTGTTGAATTTCGGAATAGGGTACTCACAGTATGAGTGCCACGCCATTTAGAAAAGTGTGCCTGTATACATCATTCTGTTTTGGAAAACTCATTTTCCTCTCTGGTCTGCTCTCCCTGATGAGGTGGTCAAGCTGCTGTCGCTTCATCTGTTCAGTGTTAACCTGGAAGGCAGTTTCTCTCAACTGCGGAAAATAAATGAAAAAGAGCGCTGCAGTTTTTTTTAATGAGAACCTTGTTATGGTACATATTTCCACCCCTTGTTTATATTTCTGATTACTATGACGATATCTTAGTTATAGACCAACACGCGGCCCTGACGTCACGCAGCTGCGGTGGCACTCTTGACGGCACTGCGCAGGCGCAGAGGCTTCACTTCACGTGAATTCGGTTTCTGCGTTCGCACAGTCCCCACACCTGGTGTGGGCAAATGCAGGCTTTTTTGTAAACAGTGTGCCGGTTTATAAGATCTTGTTTCGTCTATGTTCTTCCCATACATTGAATACATGCTCGCAGTAATGCTTCACGTCGACAAGTGCCGAGAATGCCTAAAAACCTGGTGGTGTATGGAATTAAATTGCAGCAAAAATCAATTCTAGTGCCAAAAATAGATGCTGCTAAACGCGTGCCAATTTAGAACAAAAATAAACACTGCGAAATCTTTTGCTGAGTTACTCTGTCTTAATCTCGCGGAATGTGGTGTTTATTTATAAAGTTCACTAAGAACACCAGCTGGCCATTTATGACAATTGCACCCCAATCAAGAGGTTATTACAAGTGTTGTTCAATTTCTCGACTCGAGGCAAGGCCACTAATTAACCTCGGTCGTCATTCGACCGTTTCATCTTAGTGTTCATGACTGTGCACTTGACGGTGTGATTTGCTTACCAGTTCAAGCAAAGTCAAGATGAGGAGGGTACACAGAGTGACATGAGCCTAACGAAGATAAGGGCTTGGGCCAGTCACCCTCATTTGAGCAGAACCTGGGTGTTAGCAGCATATTGACAGTGTGTTTGTTTGCATGTTGTAAGTTTTTATGCCTATCATTTATAGATAATTGCTGAATTGCTGGAGGCACCGGCACAAGCAAAGGCCACACTCATCGCTGAAGAAGTCAGCACATCGTCAACCCCTTCTGGTGACGACACTGAGCAAGGTCCTGACTCTGGACATGAACCAATGCATGATGCAAATGCTGGCATCGAAGAACCTTGTTCGAGCTCAGGTATGTGCGCCAATTGAAACTACTCGGCTGACATATTTTAGTACTGAATTCTGCCAAATTAGGGTAATCTAGCCTATTGCTGATTACATGAGCCAAGGATGATTTTGTTTTGAAAGACACTTTATTTCCTCTGCTGTGAACAGCCCCCTCCATCAGTAATGCCAAACAGGCTCAACCTGACCTTCGGAACGCTGCTACGCAGACCTCGGGCATCTACAGAAATCGAGGTATGTATCTGCAAGAAGAAATTTCACAGAAGGCAGCATTGTTCAGATCGTTGTAACACGTTATAATGGCACAGGCATACAAGTCACCTTGAAGACTTCATCACGAAAGTCCCAAACGAATCCTGTCCTCGTGACACCACGATGCTCCTCACCAAATCATGTCCCCCAGGCTCCATTGGATTGGATGTTGCCTGAAGGGCTGACTCTGTCGCCGCAGCCGCCAGTGCACAGACAACCAGCTCCACCACCGGACCCACCACAGCTGCCAACAATAAACAATGAGCTGCCCAGTGCAGGCCAGGAAGAGTCTGTTGAAGAGTGTCCCACGGAGCTGCCAGAGCCACACGTGGAAGCAGACAGCCTATACCTCCCCTCTGACGCTAGCTTCCTCATGATGATGTCCGACACCGGCTTTCTGAGGTTGGTATCAGTCGGATATATGTCATCTTTAGTGACGAGTATGAGAGGGTGTGTAAGAGGTTGCTTTTTTCTTTTCTTTTTTTTTATTCCAGGGATGCACAGCAGAACACTGCATCTGACAGCGCACTCAGTCAGCATGAGAGCAGCAAAAGCATCGACTACGTCTCGGAACGAAAGTTTATTGTTTTCGAGTCTTGTTTGGACGAGCTACTAGGTAATTGTCCCGAGTGCACTGCACTGTGCCGCATCACAGAGAAGAAGATCAAAGGGACATGTCTCCGGGTGCACAGAATGTGCAACAATGGCCACCAACACACCTGGACCAGCCAACCATCAGTGAATAGGAGGGCCCTGGGCGATGTGCTCCTAGCTGCAGCAACGCTCTTCTCTGGGAGCATCGTCAAAAAAGTGCTAAGGCTCCTCCACCAGATGGGCGTGCCCTGTTTATCGTACGAGACATACTTTAAGATTCAGGGTGCCTTCCTTCTACCAGCGATCAGACAGGTATGGCACGTTTTCAAGCTTTTCCTTTCCTGTGAGAGGTTTATTTTAGGTGCCAATATTTCAGGCTCAGCACTCCTATGGGATCCTGAATGGTGTAGTACATGCGTAGGAAGCACCATATGTTTCTGTCTACAAGTCACACACTCCTATAAACGGCTGTTTTTACAAAAAGCTTGATATATACATGTTTGCAAGTGCGTCTTCAGGGTGCCTCCATCTTGCCGAGTTGGGTTGTGCTTGGGCGCGGCCATAGTCTGATTACGACACCTTAGTGAGGCATCGTAATCGAATTTAATGCGCCCAAGTGCACTCCAACTGGGCAAGGTGGCGGCGCCCCGAGGCCGTACTTGCAAACGTCTATAGGTGGCACATCTTTATACGGGCCGCAAGGCAAAACTGCATTGATAAGCTGTCATATGTATATTGTAATATAAGCACAAGTAAGAGCCAGCTTCAATGTTCTTGCGAACTACCGTGGGAAATTTGTTCTGATATGGCCGGCTGTAAGCTCTGCTGGAAGCCGGCATATTGCCAAGGTTCCAATTGTAAGGAAAAGCTGATCCGCCGACCCGAAGGCCACATCTAATGGATCTAGGTCTGTACGATTCAATACACTGCAGCACCTGAGGCTACATCTAATGG